TCCGCTTCTGGTATTTATAGCAGCACTAGATGACTCAGACAGTTGGTATGAGTCAGAATCAACTCAGCAGGCGATAGGTAACTATATCCTACCGCAGTGCAATTAATTACTTTTGTGCGTGGCCTTTCTAGACGTGGTCTTGTAACTACTACCCAGGTGATTGTGAAATAAGGTAACTGTGGCCTACCAAGGGAATTAGACAGTTTTGTCTTGAAAGAGAGCCAATTCCAGAGCAGAGAGGAGGAGCCCCCCACCAAGGAAGGATAGACCCAGCCTCAGAGACCCGGCAGTAGTAGATGGTGTGGTGGGCTTCCCGGCCCACCAAGAGAGAAAGCTGAGTGTCTTTGGGCAGAGACTGAGGACCAGGGAAAGGTGTGCCTGTGAGCACGGCTGGGAAGAGGCTATCCTGATGGAAAACGGTATATTGAGTGTTCCTGAGCCTGAATTATAACCGTTACTTCCCTAATAAACCCAATAACTGTGAGTATGGTCTTTGAGTTCTGTGTGGCAATTGCAATGAATTATTGAACCCAGCAGATAAGTAGAGAATGCTGTGTGAGGGATCGTTGGTGTCAGAATTAGTAAATATGGCAGAGAGAGGAGGCTTGTCTGGCCTCCGCCTCAAGGGGGTCAGACTTGTGCTGTTGATCTTGGGTTCTTCTTCCCTCTTGTAGGATTGGAAGAAGTCAGACACTGCCCCCATGCAATTCTTGCAGCTACCTAGAATTTCACTTTAAATATAAAGGTATAAATAGGATAGACCTAAAAGGATGAAAATTTACAGTGAAATACCATTTTCCACCTGTCATGGTTTGAATTATGTCCCCCAAAAAATGTGTGCATCAATTTGGCTAGGCCATGATTCCCAGAATTGTGTGGTTGGCCTCCATTTTGTGATTGTAATTTTATGTTAAAGAGGATTAGGGTGGGATTGTGACACCACCTTTACCCAGGTCACATCCCTGATCCAGTGTAAAGGGAGTTTCCCTGGGATGTGGCCTGCACTACCTTTTATCTCTCAAGAGATAAAAGGAAAAGGAAGCAAGCAGAGAATTGGAGACCTCATACCATCAAGAAAGCAGTGTCGGGAGCAGAGCACGTCCTTTAGACTGAGGTCCCTGCACAGAGATGCTCTTAGTCTGGGGGAACACCAAAGAGAAGAAGACCAACAGAGAGAAAAAAGCTTCGTCTGGAGCTGATGCCCTGAATTTGGACTTTTAGCCTACTTTAACTGTGAAGAAATAAATTTCTCTTTGTTAAAGCCATCCACTTGTGCTGTTTCTGTTGTAGCAGCACTGGATGCCTAAGACAGAATTTGGTACCGAGAGAGTGGGGTGCTGCTCTAACAGATACCTAAAATGTGGAAGCGGTTTTGAAACTGTGAATGAATAGAGCAGTGGCGGCAGCAAAGGACCAGCAGCAGCAGAGAACCTGCAGTGGCAGAGAACCAACAGTGGCAGAGAACCAACAGGAGCAGAACCAGGAGACCAGTGCAAGATGGCGCTGGAGCCGACCCACGGAGCGAGAGGGCTGAGTGCCCGTGCGCAGGAGGCTTCCTAGTGGAGTGGGGTGCCTCTGGGTACTTATCGGTGGAGCTAGGCTTGCCAACCCACGGAGCGAGAGAGCTGAGTGCTTGTGTGCATGAGGCTTTTTGGTGGAGTAGGGTGCCTCCAAGTACTTACCAGTGGAGCTACAGAGCTTTGGAACACTTGCTCCAGCAAGGCAGATGTGGGCATAAGGCCTGAGGAGCCAAGAGGCCAAGAAACCAGAAAACAAGATGAAGAGACAAGGGACACAAGAAGCTGAGCTGCCTCGGTCTCAAAAGCTATGGCCATGACCTCAGGGGTTTCAAAGGGTGGAACCACAGGCTCTGGTGTTTCTAAGGGTGGAGTTGTCACTCCAATGGAGTAGGAGAATGGTGCACCTAAAGCCGAGGGAGCAGAGTAGCCATCCCAGTGGGCCTGGAAGGCAGAGCTGAAGCCCAGGGCCGAGGGCCTCCACTCAAAATCCAGAGACTGTGGCCAATACCTAGAGTCCAGAGGGCAGGGCCATTGTGAAAATCTCGTCTCACAGAACACAGCATTGTTTTCAAGCCTTGAGGGCTAATGTAATGCTGACTTGCTTGGTGCCTGTTATCTTTCCTTCCCTCCAGTTTCTCCCATTTGTAATGGAAATGTCTAGCTTGTGCCTGTTCTGCCATTGTACCTTTGAAAGCAGATAACTTGTATTCTAGATTTCACAGATGAAGAGGAATTTTTGGATTTTGGACTTGGAGTTAAGACTTTTGCTATGATATGATGGGGTGAATATGTTTTCCATGTTGCAAACGTGATTTTTTTGGGGCCAAAGGTTGGAATGTCATGGTTTGAATTATGTCCCCCCAAAAATGTGTGTATCAATTTGGCTGGGCCGTGATTCCCAGAATTGTGTGGTTGGCCTCCATTTTGTGATTGTAATTTTATGTTAAAGAGGATTAGGGTGGTATTGTAACACCACCTTTACCCAGGTCACATCCTTGATCCAATGTAAAGGGAGTTTCCCTGGGGTGTGGCCTGTACCACCTTTTATCTCTCAAGAGATAAAAGGAAAGGGAAGCAAGCAAAGAGTTGGGGACCTCATACCATCAAGAAAGCAGTGATGGGAGCAGAGTGCGTCCTTTGAACCGGGGTCCCTGCACAGAGAAGCTCTTAGTCCGGGGGAACACTGAACAGAAGAAGGCCGACAGAGAGAAAAAGCCTTCCCCTGGAGCTGATGCCCTGAATTTGGACTTTTAGCCTACTTCAACTGTGAGGAAATAAATTTCTCTTTGTTAAAGCCATCCACTTCTGGTATTTCTGTTGTAGCAGCACTGGATGCCTAAGACAGAATTATCGGTGAATCACAGCGCAGACCTTTAGGATTTTGGAACAAAGCTCTGCCATCCTCTGCAGATAACTACTCTCCTTTTGAGAAACAACTTTTGGCTTGTTACTGGGCCTTAGTAGAGACTGAATGCTTAACCATACCAAATGTCTTAGGCTGGGTTCTCTAGAGAAGCAAAACCAGTAAAGTGTATAAATATATACAGAGAGATTTGTATCAAGGAAATAATCCATGCAATTGTAGAGGCTAAAACCTCCCAAGTCCACAGATCGGGGTAGAGGCCTCTCCCAGTTCAAGTAGTCGCAGAAGCTGGTGAACCCAAGGTCAGCAGGTCGGAGAGGGGTTCCTGCTCACAGGCTGTGAAAGTCAGTGAATTCAGAGATCAGCAGACAAAACCGCAAGGTTTCTTCTGATTCACGTAGCTGCAGGGGCTAGCAAACCCAATGCTGGCAGGTCGGGAAACCAGACTCTTGCTTCAAGGCCGAGCAGTTCGACAAATTCCGAGATCAACAGGTAAGCTGCTAGCTCAAGTCCCGTGAACCAGAGGTGAGACAACAAGAGGCAGCTGCTGAGTCTGGAACAAGCCAAAAACCTCGGCAAGGCAAGCAGGCAGAAGGCAACCGGCAGAAGGCAGAGAGATAAAACTGAAAGGGCAGTGAGCTGCCACAGGCCCCGCCTCCGCCAGTACCACTCAGCAGATTCCATATGCGGGTGATCACAACATTAGACAACTACTAAAACACTGAGAATAATGGTCTAGCCAAGTTGACATACAATCTTAACCATCACACCACCTATGAAATTAGCAAAATTGGTAAAAATACAAAAATTTGAAATTTTCCTCCTTTCATTAGGTGTGGGAGACATTCTTATTATTTGTTGATGAGAATATAAAATGGTTTGTAACCCCTATCAAAAAAATTTCCAATAGCTAAAAAGAATATACATTTAATCTTTGGCTTTATAATTTTTAGAAATCTGTTCCAAAGATAGCTGACAAAAATGCAAAATGTCATGTGTATCAAGTTATTTATTGTGTCATTATTTATAACAGCAAAATATTGGAAATACCCAAACAAACAAAAAAATCCATTGCCATTGGGTCAATTCCGACTCATAGTGACTCTGTAGGACAGAGTAGAACTGCCCCTGCCCCATAGAGTTTCCAAGGATTGGCTGGTGGATTCCAACTGCTGACCTTTTGGTTAGCAGCTGTAACTCTTAACCACTTCACCACAAACCCAGCTGCCCATAAATAGGGAACTAATTAAATAAGTTATAGAACACCCTTGAAATAAAGTACTATGCAGCCATAAAAAGGAAGAAGATCTCTATTTTCTGATCTGAAATGATTTTAAGATGTATGTTTAGTGAATAAAGCAAAGCAGAAAACATGCAAATCTATGTATGCTAATCTTTCGTGTAATAAAGGACAGAAATTCAAATAGATATGTGCATTTGTTTATATTTACAAAAGAATCACTGGACAGACAAATGAAAAACTAATAAAAATGGCAACTTATAGTAGGAGAGAGGTATGCGAGGGAAAGAAAGATGGAATTAGACTTTCCTGAATATACGTTGTTATACAGGTTGACTTTGGAATCATAAAAAGTCTTTACATATTCAAAAAGTAGAATTAAATAAATAAAGCAATCCATAAAAATTGGACAGAAATGTAAACAAAAAAATAAACTGTGTCAAGTAAGTGACACAATCACATGAGCAAAGATTTGCATCAAATGACTTTAGAATGCAGAACATTTGTTGTATATTCTTAGTGGAATAATACAAAGGACAAAATTTCTTTGTATGTTTTCATATGCTTCAAGTATTTCATAATAAACTCTTTTAAACTTTTAAAAATTATGCCCGTATTACATTTTCTGGGCAAAAATACTTCTTTCTGTATAAAGTAGAAATAAACTCAATTGTGCAAATCAAAAAGTAAACTGTAGGCCGCCAGCTCCTCAGCAACTCTCTAGCACCTCCGAGTTTGCGACTGGTTGAGCAGAGTCGTCAGCATGAAGAGGCCGGACTCAGAGTCACTGACAAAGTACCTTTCATCTGAGAAGTTCAAGGTACTTTATAGAACTTCTGACACACAGGCCATGCATCTCGCAGCACATTTCTAAGTGATGGCTGCCATCAGGAAGAAACTGGTGATTGTTGGTGATGGAGCTTGTGGCAAGACCTTGCTCAGAGTCTTCAGCAAGAATCAGTTCCCCGACATGTATGTGCCCACAGTGTTTGAGAACTATGTGGCAGATATTGAAGTGGACAGAAAGCAGGTAAAGTTGGCTTTGTGGGACACAGATGGGCAGGAAGATTATGATCATCTGAGGTCCTTCTCCTACCTGGACACCGACGACATACTGATGTATTTCTCCATCAACAGCCCTGATATTTTAGAAAACATCCCAGAAAAATGGACCCCAGCAGTCAAGCATTTCTGTCCCAATGTGCCCATCATCCTGGTTGGGAACAAGAAGGATCTTCGTAATGATGAGCAAACAAGGCAGGAGCCAGCCAAGATGAAGCAGGAGCCGGTAAAACCCGAAGAAGGCAGAGATACGGCAAACAGGATTGGTGCTTTTTGGTACATGGAGTGTTCGGCAAAGACCAAAGATGGAGTGAGGGAGGTTTTTGAAACGGCTACGAGAGTGACTCTGAAAGCCAGACTCGGGAAGAAAAAATCTGGGGGCCTTGTCTTTTGAAACCTCGCTGCAAGCACAGCTCTCTTGAGGTTAATTTTGAAGTACTGTTTGTTAATCTTAGTGTATGATTACTGGTCTTTTCCATTTATCTATAATTTACCTAAGATTACAAATCAGAAGTCATCTTGCAACCAGTATTTAGAAGGCAACCATGATTATTAATGATGTTCAGTCCCTCTTACACTGCTCTAACAGCCCTCCTCTGCACTCCCACCTGATACCAGGTGCTAATTCAAGGAATTTCTTAACTTCTTGCTTCTTCTAGAAAGAGAAAAAGTTGGTAACTTTTGTGAATTAGGCTGTAACTACTTTATAACTAATATGTCCTGCCTATCATCTGTCCGCTGCAAGATACTCTGGTGAGTCATCACTTCAGAACTTTCCTCCTAAATGGGTTTCATCGGCATAGCTCTGAAATGGGCATCCAGTTTTTTGAAAAGGTGCTCAGCCAGAAAGGCCCAAGTCCATGCAGCTGTGGCAAAGTTACAGTTCTGTGGTTTCATGTTAGTTACCATATAGTTACTGTGTAATTAGTGCCACTTAATGTATGTTACCAAAAATAAATATATCTACCCTAGACTAAAAAAATAAAAAAAGTAAACTGTAATTTTGCTCAAAACGAAATTTAAATGAGAAACCTGCTGTTGTTTGTTTGTTGACCTGTTGTTGTTGTGGTATGCTGTCAAGTTGAGTCTAATAGCGGCCCTATAGGATACAGTAGAACTACCCCATAGTGTTTCCTAAGCTGTAGTCTTCATGGGAGCAGACCGCCAGGCCTTTTCTCTTCCAGAGCCGCTGGTGTGGTCAAACGGCTGACCTTTCAGTTAGCAGCTAAGCACTTAACCATTGCAAAACCAGGGCTCCTTATAAGACCTGTAGTCTTCTTATTTCTAATTTAAGATGACAGAAACGAGGCAGATAGGTGACAGAATTTGCTCTCTAAAACAACGTTTGCTGAAAGCGTTTTGGGGAGTCAGGCACTGCGCTAAGAGCTGAATAAAATCTGCCATCTTCTCTAATCTCTCCTTCCCTGGTTGTAGGATCTTTTGACTGAGCTGACCAGGGCACGGTAACACACGTAATCCAAATAGTGATTGCAATTCCAGAACAAAATGAGAATACCTGCTGAGTTTTGTTTTGTTTATTGCATGACATTTACTTATATTTTAGTAAAATGTACATGTCTGGTCTCCAGTTTGTCCTCAGATTTTCTCCCACCTGATAGACAGCCAGGGTCCAGGCCTGAATTTCTTCAAGTAGAATGGCTGGGAAAGAAGGTCCTGATTTAAGTAAATTATCCTAGAAGAGGAGAATGCATAAGGCTCTGAGGGAGATAAAGAAGAGGGAAGGGAAAGAAAGGGGTAAGAATTTAGCCCTGAGGGTGGGGTGGTCAGGCCCCCAAAAGGCTGAGCATTAGGCCTGGGAACATTCCCACCCTTTCTCCTCTTCTAAAATCCCCCCCAGGAGCTCTGGTGGCTTGATGGTTAAGTGTTCTGTTGCTAACCGGAAGGTCAGTGGTTTGAACCCACCAGCAGCTCAGTGGAAGAAAAGACCTGGCGATCTGCTCCTGTAAAGACTTCAGCCTAGGAAACCCGATGGGGCAGTTCTACTCTGTGCTATAGGGTCGCTATGAGTCAGGATTGACCCGGCAGTACACAACAACATGAGTCGGAATCCACTGGAAGGCACACAAAAACAATATCCCCTCTTCACAATCTCATTTTTCTGTAGTGTTTTTCTTAGCCCCACCCTATTCTGCAGACACTTGACCAGGAACTTCAGCAAAAGATAAAAGACCAAACTGGATCAGATGACTGAAAACATTGAAAACAACATGCTCAACCTCCTTAATAACTTAGCAAATGAGACCTCTCATAAGGGTTTTTAACAAGTGAGAGATGTGGTCAGAATCATTTCTAAGTGAGTGCACCTTAGTTCAAAACAAAATTTTATTCAGTATATAATCCCGAATGTGTCTCAAGATGTAAAAGTGATTCATATTTCAGATATTTTTAAATATCAAAACAGTGTTATTAAACACACACACATGCACACACATACGTATTACATACATACATAGTCATTTCAATCCTTTACAATAGTACAACATAACAGAAAACCTAAAAGCCAATATTTTGATAATAAAACCCACAGCGTCACTAAGGCTACCATATTCTCCGAGGTCACAGCTGCTCAATGCTCTGGAAGCTCCTGACCCAGCTGCAAGTCTATTCTAGCCTTAGGAAGAGGAGAGCCCTACCCTTCCCAAGGAGCAGCATCCCTTTCCCCAAACCGAGAAACCTGAGCCCTACCTCCACTGTCTAATTGCAGTTTCTATTCAGGAGCTTGTTCTACAGGCATTTTCCACTCTAAACTCTCGGGAGCTTTGAATGAGTTGAAAGACTGTCTTTGCAAGTAGCTCAAAACCATATTTTGAAGTTTGGCTGGCTACAGGTGGTCCAAACGCTGCGGGCTGTCATCACCATCTCCGAGGAAACTGAAATTCAAATTAAATGCTAAGGTCACATTGACTAGGAGACCTTGAAACAAAGAAGCTCTACATTCCATTCCAAACATTCCTTTCATACCAACTGAGCTTATGTAGCACTTGGGGCTATACAGCATGACTATTACTGAGGGACTTGACTAATTTTTCCTAATATTTTACTTAGTTAATTGTATTGAATGGTTCAAAATTTATCCCTACGTATTTCTGTTCAGATATGGGGGAAAAGAGCTTGTTACTATATACTTATAATGTAAACATAATAACTTATGCTATAGACATATTTTTTCCATTGTTGTAAAACGTCATTAGTCTCTGACATCCTAGGAAGCACTAAAAAATAATTTTTTCCCAAATATTTCAACATTAAAATCAAGATTATGTAGAACAGTAGCTGGAGATGAGAGAAGTAAGCAGGTAAGTGAATGAAGGTGAGAAATAAGAGGTGTTGTTGAGTTCAAGAAATATTTAAAAGACAAAATCAATAGTGCTTGTGGAAAACTTACATAACCAAAAACACAAAAACCAAACCATTGCCATCCAGTCGATTCTGACTCATAGCGACCCTATAGGACAGAGTAGAACTTCTCCATTGGGTTTCCGAGGAGCAGCTGGTGGATTTGAGCTGCTGACCTTTTGGTTAGCAGTCGAGCTCTTAACCACTACATACAGGTAAAAAGGAACAAGCAGTCTACAAAGAACTGAACATTTTTGGTTTGAACAAATTCTGGATGGTAATACTATAGGAAATATGGTTGAGAAACATAATTTGGGGTGATGCGTAAAGGGAATAAACAGTTCAATTTTATATAATTGTGAAGTGTTTGTGAAATATCTAGGTAGAAAGATGTAGTAGAACTGCCCCATAAGGATTCCAAGAAGTAGCTGGTGGATTCTAACTGCCTACCTTTTGGTTAGTAGCCATGGCTCTTAACCCCTACGCCACCAGGGCTCCATCTAGTAGGTAGGTAGATCTAAATTTATAACAGGGAACAGTTGGATCTAGATATGTAGTTTTTCAGTTTTTTTGAAGTATAATTTACAAACAATAAATCTCACTCTTTGCAAATGTATAGTTCAATTTTAGTAAATTTTTACAGATGTTCAATAATTACCACAATCCAGTTTTAGAATACTCCCACCTCCAGCCCCATGCAGCCACTCATCTGCTTTCTGTCTCCATAGTTTTAGAAATTTGATATAAATTGAATCATACAAGATATAGACTTTTTTGTCTGTGCTTATTTCACTTAGCATACAGATTTTGAAGTTCATCCATACTATAGCATGAATTAGTAGTTCATTCCTTTTCATTACTGAGTAGTATTCCATTCTAAGCATAAACCAATTTTGTTTATCCACTTACATATTGATGGACATTTTGCTATTTGTTTGGTTCTTATGAATGGTTGCAAAAGCTTTTGTGTGAACATATGTTTTCATTTCTGTTGGGTAAATACATAAGAGTGGAATTGCTAGGTCATATGATATCTGTATATTTGACTTTTTAAAAAACTACCAAACTGTTTCACTGACTGTTTGCATTCCCACCAGTAATATATGAGGATAGAAATATGCATTTGATTGTCATCAATACATAAGAGGTAGCTGAAACATGGAGGTGATCTCTGAGCATATTGATCAGAATGGACTACTTCATACTTCAGTAACAAGCAACACTAAAATCTCAGTGGCTTATAATAACAAGGAATTTCTTCTTGCTCATGCAACATGTCCATTAAGGGTTAGTTCCAACTCTGCTGTATTTTATCTTCATTCTGAAATCCAGGTTGGTGGAGCAGCCCCTGTGTGAAACACTGCCATCTGTAAACCAAAACCAAAAAACCAAACTCGTTGCCATCAAGTGGATTCCAACTCATAGCGACCCTATAGGACAGAGTAGAACTGCCCCATAGAGATTGCAAGGAGTGCCTGGTGGATTCTAGCTGCTGACCTTTTGGTTAGCAGCCTTCTGTAATGGTAAGGAAAAATGAGAATGTAGCAAAATACAGTCTGATTGTTAAATTTTCTGCCTCAAAGTAACACATAACAGTTGTAATCATATTCCTTTGGGCAAGCTAGTCACATGGCTAAACCTGACTTCGATTAATAGGGAAAGTATAATTCTCCTCTCAGGAAGGGGAGGAGAAGCAGATATTGATGAAGGGTATAATTTACCACACCCATTCAGAAGATAAATGACCAGAAGTAGGCAAGGACAAAACCCAAGGGAACACTGACATTCAGCTATTTATTAAATATACATATGAGAGCCTTCTATGTGCCAGATACTGTGATAAATTGTAGCGATACCACTGGGAATAGGACAGGTC